AAGATGGCCGGCTCTAGCCCAAGGAGGCTACGCAAGGACGAGTTGACTCGTTCGCGCTTGGAGAGAGAGAGCAGCAGCAGCAGCAGCAGCAGCAGCCGCGGCAGCAGCAGCAGCAGCAGCAGCAGCAGGAGCAGTGGCAGTCGTAATGGTAGTCGTAATGTTAGTGGCAGTGGTGGTGGTGGTGGCCAGTGGTGGTAGTAGTAGTCGCAGCAGCAGCAGCAGTAGCAGTCGTACTAGTGGTAGCAGTAGTGGTAGTAGTAGTAGTCGTCGTCGGTGGTGTAGCAGTGATGGTGCTGGTGCCGGTGGTGGCATAGGTGGTGGTAGTGGTGCTGGTGGTGGGGATGGTAGTAGTCGCAGCAGCAGCAGTAGCAGCAACAATCCACTGTTGCTGCAACGACGACGACTACTGCAACTAAATTTTGACTGTCGCAGCTTATGCTGCTACTGGTTCATCGGCTGGGTTGGAGGTAATTCTTCCGACAATTCATATTCTAGTCAGTAACTTGCTCCGAAGCTTGCCGAGCTTGCCGAGCTTGCCCTGCTTGAAGCTACTTGAACGTGTGTTGGTGCAGGCGATGACAACGTTGACTCTTTCTTGGAAAAACTCCGCGGAAAGGCCAGCCAGCTGCTGATTGCTAGTTGTGATTCAGTCATGTCCAGCTGCATCGAGTCCATACTACGGAGCAGTAAAACCCGACAGCTTGAAATCCGCCGGGAGTTTCATTGCCTGTGTGCTTGCCTGCCAGGCGCCCAGGCAAGCAGCTGACAAAGATCAGCTGGCATCTCAGAAGCTTGGAAGGACAATTTCGAGAGCATAGCAAGCAATACCAATACAACAGTCGGTATCATTCGACATTTATTTATTTTGGTTGCCAGATGTTTCAGTACCTTCATTCAAACGGATGTCTCTGAGCAGATTTTGCAGACATCGCATATTGAATTTGGTGTGGGGTCGGGAATGCAGACTTGCACGGACTCACAGGCAGTGGCAAGACAGGAGGAGCTCGAGGCCTGTCGCGATGGCGTACGGCACATGGCCTCATGGCTGCCTCCACGGCCGATGTTTTGCTACTTTGCAGGGCGAAGGAGCCGCTGTTATGCTGAAAAATATGTTGCTCACTTGGACAGGCAGGATGACAAGCAAGAGCTGCTCAGATGCAGCCAGAATATGGGTGGTTGTCAAAATTATGGTCCCTTTTTAGGTCCTTAGTATAATACGGCACCTATTATTTAGGGTACCCCAAAAGGGACCATAATTTTGACAACTACCCATATGCCGGCCCAGGATGTCGGGTCGGCTGCAGCGGCTAGAGGATTGAAGCGAACGAAGCTCGCTTTTTTGGCCTTGCTTCAGACAATGGCTGACAACCGGCACGCAGCTCCTCAGCCGAGGTGGGATTGGTCCAGTCAAAAATGGTGGGATGAGTGGAATGACGAGTCGTGGAAGTGGGATGAGCGGTGGAGTGCGAAGGGCACAGATGACAAGCAGTGGCTGAGGGCTCAGACGGCTTAGCGATGCTTCGCATACTTTGCACTTTGAGACTTTTTGGGCAGTGCGGATATTTAGGTTCGAGCCGAAGGATTCATGGTGGGCCTGGGAAGGCGCCGTTGCGCTGCTCGGTGCTTCCTTTGCTCATAGCGCTCTGGGAGGCCGCCCATCCTGGAACGAGCAGATGGGCTGGAAGTCAGAAGAGGCACCCAACATCCATGACATGAGGTGAACGACCCAGAGACGGAAGCTAAGTTGCTGGGTGCTGCCGTGTCTGAGGACGACAGTTGGGGACAATGGAGAAGCGCCGAGCATGGAAGCGGAAAACGTGGAAGCCCAAGCAAGCGTTGTATCCGAGCTCGGCAGAAGGACGCCCTGAGCCAGCTTTTTCTAGCAGGAAACCTGCATTGAGCAGGTGGAGGGGCAGAAGCGGAACAGGCCAGCAAGCCGCAAGCTGCACTCTCTTTGGAGGCAGTCGCTTTCGGAGTTTTTGTGTTTCGGAGTGTGCTGGAAATGGTGCAGACGTGACTCTTTGGCAAGAATCTCTTCCCGAAGTTAGCTCAAGCCTGTGCTCCAATTCTTCCACCCGCTCGGCCTTATTCCTGACCACGCATTGAAGCCCCGCTGTGAAATCATGCGCTCTGTGAGGGATAGAGTTTTGGATTGTCCAAGATGAAATGGACACAGCCAATGCCTGCCTTGTTCCAGCAGCGAAAACCCGAGTCAGAGAAGTCAATGACGTGGAATGGTGCACAGGCCGAAGACAAGAAGCCCAAGGACAGCAAGGACGGAAAAGAAAAAGCGAAAGAGAAGAAGGCTCGAGCACTTAGCTGGATCTGGCTGCTGTGTTTTCATGGGCCGTTGAATGTCGAATTAACTCCGGACCTGTCAGAGGACAAGAAGGAAGACAAGAAAGAAAAGAAGGCATGACATGTTGTCTCGTGTTCTGTTTGGAATCATCGGACTAGCAATCGGTAACATGTGGATCGTCAAAGTGCTTGGAAACATCCGCTAGCAGTCCCTGCTAGACCTGTAGATTCAGGTTAGGATGGAGCTTGTTGAGATCTTCGAATGCAACCTTCAATTTGGCTCGTAGCAGCATGCAAGCATGCGCAGATGTATGGCATTGGATCACGGTTGAAATCCTAATCGGCTGGCGTGAGGAAGGTGGCGATAAAACACATGCACATCAAACAGGGCTCTATAGCAGCTAGCACACACCAAACCCGACGAGCCTTTGCAACTAGCAGCCTTTGGTGTCCAACTCTGGCCGTGAGACTGCCCGATGGATCCGATACAGGCAGCGGCATAATTTCTGAGCGATGCAGCGCTTCTCTTCCAAGTCACACTGCCTTGTCAAGACGTGTGCCGGACACGCAGAGGCTTGGAAGCTGCAGCAAGCGCGCTTGGGGAGCAAGGCCGAATTCACAGAACCCCGGCATGGCACAGGTTGACAACGGCATATGTGCAGGAGAAGACCTTAGAAGAGCTTCGAAGCTCCCAGGCACGATGGTCGGTGGCCTTTGCCACTCAGCTCGAAAGCTTCATTGCACCTCTACCTTTCTGTACTCTTTGGCAAATCCAGCAATAGTTGGATGCTTCGCAGCTGAGGACATGTCTGACGAGGATCTGCAGGGGTCAGCGAAATTGAGCAGAACAGTGTTTGAGGAATTTCCGAGTTGTCTCATCGCAGCGTCTTTCCTGACAATCGCAAGAGAGTTTGGGCTAAATTGACTAGTGCAACCTGCCCCTCCAGGACCAAGACGGTCTTATCACGGAGAGTGAGTGCAGCAAGGCCTTCAAGAGGCCTGGGTGATGGCCAGAATCTTTGCGGAGCCTTCTGCCGTGAGTTTGGGTGTGACGGTGCTTTGATATTGCAGCATCAACATGCCCGTGCTCGGAAATTCACTTTTCTCGGGCTACCGGTCAGGATTCTCGGAGCCAATGCTGAAATGCCGAAGTACCGGCTGAAGGTGGCAAGTGCAGTGGTACTTGCGAAGCACGTGCAGACCTTGAAGTTGGATGTGCCTTTGATTTGAGGAGATGTTTGACGAGATGGACGTGCTAGGCAGCATGGAAGGGCAGCTCTCAACCAATCCATAGCATGCTGTTCCATTCTGCTCAGCCCTTCCTCTGCCAGGAAAGCAAAGGTTGGACTTCCGGCAGTTCCACAAGTTGGTGCGCCGGGTCATTCTCTTCTTTCTGCATCTGCTTCGTGACGGGGAGGGTGTTGATTTTCAAGACTTCTTCGGTTCAACAACTCCGCAAGGCTCCAAAGGAAGAGACCTTGCAGTCTGACTTCTGCTTCTTGAGTCCTAGCCTTGTATGGCCGAACCCTTTGACGAGGGAGCTCAATCTTGTACATTCTGATGTTGTATGTGGGTCGTTCGGGTGACACGAAGGGCCAATTTTTGTGAGCAGGTCTTGTGGTTTCGCAAACACGCTCGGCAGCAGGATTTGCACTGGTATGTTTGCCTGCGAAGGCCGCGGAGCTTTCGCAGTACATGGCCGACAACCCAAAGTGGGCCAAAGAAGAGGTCCAGCAAGCAGAGCAGTTCTCGTGCAATTGCAAACTTGTTGGCTATGTCTTCGACAGAGTAATTCATCGCAGGCTGCATGTTCATTGACAGGAACTGCCATGTCTATCATCACTGTGAGGCGAGATGTCCGTGGAACTCTTGTGACTCTTGTGTGGTTGCAGGAAGACAAGGCCGAGAAGGAAGAGAAGTTGAAACAACAGCAGCTTCGTGAACGTGCGAAGAGCGATGCCTCTGATGCAGGGACGCCCAATGCAGGACTTGCAAGCCACACCAGAGATTAAGTTGTGGTAACGTTGCCTGTCCAATGAGAGTGATCCATGGAGAATGGACGTGCGCGGTTTTGTCAATCTGCGCCGAGAGTTGAGCCCATGGCATCTTGCGTCGTTGTTTCCTTTCCACCCGTCTTTCTCCCTCTGCGCAGCTCAGGTCTTTGCAATTCTTGGCATTGCTAAGTCCAAGGCGGGCAGCAGGGCCGGGCAGCGGGCGTACTCGGATGATCTTTTGCTGAAGCATGCGCCCATCACGAATGCAGCAAGGACGTTCAGGAGACAGAGCAAAGGAAGAACATGGAGCCGCCCCGAGCTGCAGATGCTGCAGATTGGACGCTTCGGGCCCTGGACCGCTGTAGGCTCTGAAGCAGGCCAACGAGGCCAAGGAGATGCTCAAGGCTCCGCCGGGCTCCGCGGAGCTGTGATCCCTAGCACCGAAACTTCTCGCCCCTGCCCGTGAAGGCTGCGGGGCAACAGGTCCTGGAGCCGAAGCATGCCCGAGACCCTCGTGGCCGGCGCTTCACGTCGGAGCGCTCCCCGTTGGGCCACTTGAAAACCGGGATTGAGACTGCTTTCAGGCACATTCTGAGAGCTTTTGCCCTCTGTCCCATGGATTTGGAAAGAAGTCGCATTCGCCGATGCCATGTGCGTGGGTTTCTGATTGGCCCTTCCTCTGACTGGCTCGGCACGACTGCTGTGAGGACGGCACCACCAGCCCCACGAAGAAGCCGGTCGACGATCCGGGCTCTCCTTCAGGTGCCGCAGAGGAACTGATGTTAGTCTCGTCATGCCTCGTTTGTAGTTCTGTGAGAGTTTCCATCGCTTGTCGCTTGACCGCTGGCCAGCCCGGATCACATCCGTCACTGTCAACCGACGCGCTGGACGAACCGGCGGCCGGCGTGCTGCTCGTCCCAACAGGAGAGACAATCTCTTGCCAGCTCTTTCGTGTCGGAGCATGCATGTAGGGAGCAGGATCGGCACATGGCCTTGATTTGGATACGGATCTTCACACCCCGAGGCAACTGTGGATCCCTCCGCGGACCGGGCAGGGTTCTGGTGGCAGCGGGTTTCAACTCCAGGCTTCGGGCCGCTTGATGAACCCGATGCCGGCTCATACTGCAAGGGCGTCGCTCCGGCACTCGATAGGTCTGAAGAGCAACACTGAGCAATTAAGAAGATCACGAACAATGCTACCACACTGCACATGCAACACATCGAAACTCCTCAACTCCTTCATCCTCGCAACACACGACTTCATCCAGTCAAAAGCGCCATGCCGCGATCCCGGTCCCCGCGGCGTACAGTGGACACCGTCAAGTTGACGAGTGTCCCGGCTCGCATGATAGGGTCATGTTGCATGGCTGCTTTCGAGATTTACTGTACAGGAAGAGTGTCGAAAGCATGTATTTTTCAGTAGGTTTCCTTGTCTTAGGTACGTGTGGTGTCGTCGAGCTCATGACATTTGATGCATTGGCATCTTGAAAGACAAAGGCCAGATAGCTGGCTTCGGGCGCTACCCGGCGAATCGCCCACCTGGCTTGCGAGTGCGTGATGGCAGCAAATGCAGCACCATGGAGATTCAGAACTTGATGAATCCCTGCTGCAGAGTGGTGATGCATTGGTCGAGTTGACACCACACATCCTGAGTTTGCGACGTTTCCTTCCTGACGTGAGGGATTGCTGGGGTGATGCTGCGGGCTTCACGACGTCCGAGGTGCGCCTCAGGAGAGTCCTTAGGACCTTATATTCGAGTCCTTGTTCTCGCATCACAGATGAGCCGCCACAGCCGTTTCAAGCTTGTTGTGAGCGTACTGTTCTGAAGAAGTGTCAACAGCAAAGCAGTACAGGTGCTACAGGCCGTCAAGAAGCACATGCTCCGCGACCACGGATCTGGAGGGTCGCTTCGTTTCGGTATTGCTGGCAATGAGAACGAGGACAGCCGTGAAGTGAAGAAAGTGCCCACATGGTGCTGACATTGGTGGCAGCTAGTATTTGTTCATCAAATCTGGCAGGGTCTCCAGATACAAGTGTTCCCCAGTCAGAGAATCTTGGTTGCAAAAGCGACGATCCTCTGCAGTTTCTGTGGTGTACACCAGCAAGGCACTGGAAGCAAGATCAAGGTTAAATAAATTCCAAAGATCGCCAGCCTTACCGCCAGAATGCCAGTGCATTCACGTGCCGGGGGCAGCGAGGAGCTGGCTCTTCAACACCTCGGTCGACACCCCGTTCCACACCTTGGTCGACGCCACGTTCGAACAAAGGTCGAGGAGGCTGGATGAAGGAGGTCGACGTCTCGGCACTTGACACTTTCTGTACGCACACTCACCCGTACTTGCACAGATCTGTAAATAGCACAAGAACAGACGGAATGATCCATTGCGCCCCGAGAGGGGGGCTCGCTACTTCCGGTGTGCCCCTTTTCCCTTTCTTGCCCCTGTTGCCCTTCTGGCACTTCTTGACTCTTCGCGACCCTCTTGCCCCTCTGGACCGTCTTGCCCCTGTTTCTTCTGCTGCCCCTCTTGCCCCTATTCCCATTGCCCCGCTTGCTCCTGTTGCCCCTCTTTCGCCCCTTGCCCTCTTGTCCCTCTTTGCCTGCCCCAGCCAGCCCTGCTTCGCCCCGCCATCCATAACGCCTTAGTGGTAACACGAGGCTCGAGGATTTGTAAATGGGCATGGCAGGGGCCGAAAAGGGCTCCATCCGAGGGGCAATTCTCGTTCTTTTACTCGAGCCCCGCCAAGTTGAGCTTCAGCCGTTCTGATACGCACCGGCTGATCTCAACGCCTTGACCCATCATCCTCAACGCTGACCATATCAAGCCTAAATCGTGGGGATTAAAGAAGCGCATGAAAAGCTATGGCACATCCCCCCAGGCTAAAGCTCGAAGACCCTGAAACCGTGATGCCAAAAAGAGCAGCAACAAATATGCCAAATACCGGAAGCCTCGAGTCGGATGCCGAGTCGCAAGGCTCAAACTTGTACCACATCGCAAAACCAAAGCCATAAACCCTAAGGCGAAAGCCCAGAACCCAAAACCCTGCTCCTTGATCGCAAAACCCAAACCGAACCCTAGTGGCCAAACTCAAGGCTGGGGGGGGGGCGGGGTTTGCCAAGAGG